AATGACGGGGAATGAAACAAAGCCGCTGGGTGAGGTTTTTATCTCCCCTCCGTAGGGCAACAAGACGCGTTTTTGTTCTTCCGGGTCACAGAGGCGTTCGCGTGTAAAGAAAAGTCGATCTGAATTGCTGTTTTCTAAACGGAGTCGGTGTATCAACCCCCCCAAAAGAAACGCGCCGCCAGGAATTCATAGGGGAGGCGGCGTGATAACAATGAACAATGCCAGCTCGCGGCATCTTTGTAGCGGAGTGCGCGCCACTAATATTAATATCGTGCACCCCCCAGGAACCCATCTGTGTGCAAACCGAGAATGACACGCCGGTGATGTCACTCCTGTATGATATATCTTATATCTGGGGATACTGAACAAAAAAAAGAGTACCTGTCCTCCCAGGGAGCAAACATCCGGCCTACTGATTCATTGTAAAATGCACAAGGGGCTATGTGATCACATTCATCAATGGTGGAGCCGTAATCACTGCCTGGAGCGTGAATGCTTTACTGGGGGAGGGGAGACTGAGGAAATGCTTCCTCCTGCCTGCAGCAGACTGATCACTGTGGGGGGGGGGGGGACTGGGGAAATGCTTCCTCCTGCCTGCAGCAGACTGATCACTGTGGGGGGGGGGGGGACTGGGGAAATGCTTCCTCCTGCCTGCAGCAGACTGATCACTGTGGGGGGGGGGGGGACTGGGGAAATGCTTCCTCCTGCCTGCAGCAGACTGATCACTGTGGGGGGGGGGGGGACTGGGGAAATGCTTCCTCCTGCCTGCAGCAGACTGATGACATCATCTCAGGCTAGGCAAAGTCACTGACTGGAGCTCAAGGATGACTTCTCAATGATAAGAGGTGGAAATGTTCTGCAGAAATGTCGCCCTGCCCCCGTTGCTCTGTATTGGGACATGTGTGGGGGCGTATGCGTACAGACTGAGAACTCGATCCCGTCCTCTGATTCCATTGAATGTCTTGGTGTGATTGGCGTCGTTTCTCTGACCATTGCACTCTGTGTCTTTTGTTGCAGGAGGAATGTCAGAACTACGTACGAGTCCTGATTGTGACGGGGAAGAGAGTGTTCACCTGCGGGACCAACGCCTTTTCACCGGTCTGCACGAGTCGCCAGGTACTGCGCAATTCCCATGTTACGTGTGTGCGCCATTGTAGGGCAGAATCATTGTACCATCCCGTACATTGTTCTGCAGTATTCCTTCCACACACAGCGTAGGGGGGCCCAATCCTGTATAGGAAATAAATGATTAGAAGAAACAGGATGAGGGCCACATACACATAGAAACCGATACATATCATATCCATTTTATTCATCATCAGCTTATATATAAAACATCTACAAATAAATACGTTTCAAGGTCAGAAGATTAATTACAATGTGTATCATATACACTATATTACCAAAAGTATTGGGACGCCTTGAACTCTAATGGCATCCTAGTCTTAGTCCGTAGGGTTCAGTATTGGGTTGGCTCCGCCCTTTGCCGCTATAACAGCTCCGCCTCTTCTGGGAAGGCGTCCACAAACCCCCCCCCCCCCACCAAACTTTACACTTGGCACAATGCAGTCAGGCAAGTACCGTTCTCCTGGCAACCGCCAAACCCAGACACGAAATGTCACGGAACACCTGAATCCAATCATTTGGAGGGGCCCAATACTTTTGGCAATATAATGTATTTCCTTCCTTGCAGTCACCCCTGATATAATGTATCTACATTAGTTTGTTACAAAGTACTCCGAGATGTTCACCGTTCAGTTGATAGATGTCGGTGGTAGAATGGGGGTGACCTTCTTGACGCGGTTCTATCACTCTGCTCCTTCAGGAGTCAGTGGCGGTATTTCTACCATTGAGAGACATTCACAGAGAAAATTATATTTTATACAACGTACAGAATGTATTTTTGTCTTTTTTATGATGATTTCCCCCCATTGGTTATACATAAAGGGCTGGGGGAGGGGGGATCGGCCTGGCAGTATATGTTCTGGGTATGATCTCAGCGCTGTTTGGATACTCGTGTTTCCTGGCAATGTTTCTCCTTCGCAGTTCTCAGACTTTCCTGGGAGGTTAATAGTCTTTTCCTGCAGTTGCTGCCACTCTGGGATTAATCCCCATGTAATGCAGCGTCTGGATTAACCTTCGATATGATGTCAGAGGAGAGGTCGGGGCGAGCGATGAGCCGAGGTGATGGGGGACTTTTTGTTCTGCCGGAACCTTTCTGTGTCTTTTGAACGTTCTCGAGCCGCTCGGAACGCGGAGAACTCTGTGCGAGGGTCTCCTGCGAATTTTCTTGACACAACAGCTGCTTCCATTTAAATGTTCATCTCGCTCCGTCCCTCCCCGCGCAGCATAAACAGATCGCCGATAAGAATATTCTGTATCGTCATTGGGGGGAGGGAGGGGGGGGCTGCCTTTCCATATAAAGGGATATAAAATCCTTTGTGGGGGGGGAGTTGGCGGATCTTTGTGTTGGAGGTGCGGACCCGCTCCGGGCACTAAGGGGTCACTTTAGGGGCGTTGCACCACCTGAGCGATGGTTCTTGTGTTCGCGCCAGCCAGATAGCGTGAAGTGAGATTGCAGCGATCCGCACATTCTTCGGCTCTCTTGGCACAAGAGGAACTGCAGCTCGTTTACAGAACACGAGAGCTGCTCGGGGAGAGGAAGAGTCCAAGGGAAAGTTTTACAAATCTAAAGCAGTTTTATGAAAAATTGATACAAAGTATAAAACATTTAGGCCCCATTCACACTTGGCGATTCGCAAACGCGCGCGATTTGCATTTTGCGCGATATCGCGCAAATGCTTGCATTGAAAAGCATTGAATCGCGGCAAAATCCGCTCCAAAAAGGGTCCTGCTGTAGCGACACACGACCCGCGACAGCAGCACCCTTTGCCCCATTGCCAAGCATTGGAGAGCGATATCGCGGGAATTACCGCGCGATAAATCGCTCAGTGTGAACGGGGCCTACATGTTAGAAAAGTGAATGTTTTATCATTCAGTCAGCAACTTGATTTTTTTTTTTTGTTTAATATATTATATATATTTTATTGTTTTGTTTCCACAAAAGTACAGTTATACAAACATTCATAAACATTAGTTTCACATTATTTAATCATTATTTCTAGCTCTAATAACTACAACTTTCACCCACTTCCAATATCCATCACTAATCATCCATCATATTTTTACTTCCTCTATCACTCTCTTCCCAATCAGCAACTTGATGTGACTTCCTGTTACTGACAAAAAACGTTTTGGGTGTTTCTTTTTAGTCTTTTTTTTTACAACCTTGGCAACGGTACCCAAAATCATAATCCCCTTCTGCAATCACTACGAGCAGCCTATAGAAGGAGAGCTTTGCAGGCGGCACTCAAAGGCACCACCATTTTTACTATTGTAGGAAAGGTCTCCAATGGCAAGACCTATAGAGCCCCCCCTCATTTCCTTACCAGCCACCTCTAGCTCTTTCATCCCCAGCCTGACTGCCCCTGACCCCGCCCCTTTCATTCATTGGATTTCAGTTCTTTCAATCATGGAAGTTCAGTATCGCATGTGGGTGGTTTGTATGCAAATACAGCCTGCCTAGGAACGCCCACTCCTCCAGACTGACACCCACCCATCAAAGCATTTGCATGACTCCACCCAAGTACCTGCCCACTGCTTGCATCAGGGCTGAGGGTTTTTGAGATGATATTGGGGGGCAGGGTGCTGTGACCATCCATTATGTTATTGCATTAAATATGAAAGCACAGAGACCCAGTGATGGCATCAATGGGTGTAAAAGAAGATATGTAAGGAAAACGGAAAGGTTTTATTTAAAGATATCATTAGCATGTTGATGAGGGGGGACCAAGGAAGGCAAAATTAAATGTGAGCGGTTCCAGAACACAATGGAATGAAATTTTCCTGCATTGCATGCTTGTTGGCGGACTTAAAGGAGGTTGTACAATCGGATTGTAACATGTATGTACAGCAACTGTCTTTGTGAGTGATGGGAGGAGCAGTGTTCTGTGATTTGGATTGTCCAGCGGTCTGTATTTTGTGCTGTATTTCAGGTGGGGAACATCAGCCGGGTGATTGAGAAGATAAACGGTGTAGCCCGCTGCCCGTATGACCCACGCCACAACTCCACCGCCGTCATCACATCAAGGGGCGAGCTGTACGCAGCCACCGTCATCGACTTCTCCGGCCGGGACCCGGCCATCTATCGCAGCCTGGGGAGTATCCCTCCGCTCCGCACCGCGCAGTACAACTCCAAGTGGCTGAATGGTGAGCTTACTGATTAAAGTGTACCTGTCACCCCCAATGCAAACCTGTGGATGCCACAATAACTTTATTCAAAATTCAGGAGTGTGAGTGTTCCGGGAACAAAGGTCAGTAATGACTCTCTGAGCCCCAAATACTAGAGACACTCAACAGATACGCCAATTATGAGCCGATTCACACCTTCATGGTTCGAAAAACAATAGAAGTTGTAAAGCGTTGAAAGAGTTCTTGATGAAAACAAATTATGCTGCAGGATAGAAAGACCCCGATCTCGTCATGTATTCTGTGTGGCATTTAATTTGCATTCAGCTGTCCCAGAATGCCCAAGTAAGCTTCAATGACACAAATAACCCTTCACCTCTCCCCCCTGTTCACCCCTTATGGACCACTTACCTGATCAATGTTTATAAACAATGTTACTTTGTATCTCTCTATCTCCCTCTGATCAATGTTTATATACAATGTTACTTTGTATCTCTCTATCTCCCTCTGATCAATGTTTATAAACAATGTTACTTTGTATCTCTCTATCTCCCTCTGATCAATGATTATAAACACTGAATCAGATGGTCCATTTTTTTGACAGCTGGCAATTGTTAGGAGGGGAATGGCAGCAGGGCAGGAGGACAGGGCATTCTACTCACTCAAGTTTTTTGGGGCTTGTATAGCACACCCTGCTGTCCAAAAATGTTTTGGTTAAAGTAGGAAAGGGTTACAGTATATGTTTTGTCTACGTCTTGTTAGAGAAATTTCCCTTCACCTGTCCCAGAGTTCCAATAAGTAGTGAGAAGACATCTCCCCAAAATGAGGGTGACTCCCCTCTTAGATGTCACTTGGACAGGTGCCCCCATTGGAAGAGTTCCCCTCACGTTTTGTTCTCCCTTTAACTCATTGCCCATTTCTTTCAGAACCCAACTTTGTGGCCGCCTACGACATCGGCCTCTTCACCTACTTCTTCTTCCGGGAGAACGCGGTGGAGCACGACTGCGGCAAGACGGTGTACTCGCGGGTGGCGAGGGTCTGTAAGAACGACTTCGGGGGGCGCTTTCTGCTGGAGGACACCTGGACGACGTTCATGAAGGCGAGGCTGAACTGCTCGCGCTCGGGGGAGATCCCCTTCTACTACAACGAGCTGCAGAGCACCTTCCTCCTCCAGGAGCAGGACCTCATCTATGGCGTCTTCACCACCAATGTGTGAGTACCAACCTGGCCCTGTGTCACACACTCCTGGATAGATCGGGGGAGGGGTTAGAGCCTCTGTTAGGTTTTTATTACCTAGGAAGGTAGATTCATAGTGATGAAACCCTTTTATAGATTAATTTTATTAAGTTATTTGTATCCTGTGTGTGCTGGGGGTGTAAATGTAGAGAATCTGAACGTAGCTCCGGCAGCTTCTACACATTGAAGGATTTCCGCAATCACAGATACAAGTTCATTCCAGTGACAAACTGTTTACAAAGACAACGCGTTTCAGGGGATGTGGCTCCGCCCCCTTCATCAGGGCTTACAAATATATATGCGGACTCCGTAGTAACTGTATGATTGGGTGTTATGACAACGTTGTGGACTTGCAGAGCGTCCGTCAGCAGCTGGTTCACGCCGGGTTTTATGATTATTAATAATCAATAAAAGTGATTTTTCCGCAAAAATAAAGGAAACAATGTATCAAGCTTACAATGTGTCCGGAATATTCCGAGAACGCATTTATAACACATGCGGCACTGCGCTCTGTCATCAAACATTTCCACATGTGCGTTGGTGTGGAGGGGCGGGGGGGGGATAGGCGTTTGGTTGAGGATTATCATGGCAGTGCACATATCAATGTGATCGATTGCTCCATCAATCAATGCGACCAAACAGATCGAATTCCAAGAAAAGAATCATTTCTGACCGAGACGCATCGATCGGCTAAGTATCAATGTATTGATCGTATGTAGAGTCCGTGCTAAATATCAGAGAACTGATGGCAGATACTGATCCATTATGTGGAGAAATCGCAGATTAATCAATCGGCAGCTTGTGGTGTATACATGTGCGAGGGATCTCTCTATTCCAATTGCTTGTAATTCAATCTGATTTCCGTCCTTTCCTTCAGTCTTCTATCTGACCTCCGTCCTCCCCTTCAGTCTTCTATCTGACCTCCCTCCTTCCCTTCAGTCTTCTATCTGACCTCCATCCTTTCCTTCAGTCTTCTATCTGACCTCCCTCCTTCCCTCCAGTCTTCTATCTGACCTCCGTCCTTCCCTTCAGTCTTCTATCTGACCTCCGTCCTTCCCTTCAGTCTTCTATCTGACCTCCGTACTCCCCTTCAGTCTTCTATCTGACCTCCGTCCTTCCCTTCAGTCTTCTATCTGACCTCCGTCCCTCCCCTTCAGTCTTCTATCTGACCTCCGTCCTCCCTTCAGTCTTCTATCTGACCTCCGTCCTTCCCTTCAGTCTTCTATCTGACCTCCGTCCTTCCCTTCAGTCTTCTCTCTGACCTCCGTCCTCCCCTTCAGTCTTCTATTTGACCTCCGTCCTTCCCTTCAGTCTTCTATTTGACCTTTCCTTCAGTCTTGCACAGTGGTCCCGGCTCCTCCCCTCTTCCTCTGATGTCTCTGCACACTGGGAGCGTCTCACAATGTGCGTTAGAAGCTGCAGCAAGTCAGATAGAGCCCGCCTCAGTTCCTGGCTGGAGGACATCCAGCGTCATCTAGCGATTTGACTGTCCCTGGCCCCGCCCCTTTCATTCATTGGATCTCAGTTCTGCCAATCATGGAGGCTCAGCATCCTATGTGGGCATTACCTTGGTCATTCTGCCTGGTAGCACCCCCTCCCCCAGACTGACACTCCAGTGATGACATCACCAGGTCTAGAATAACATATGTATGTTATAGTAGATGGTCAGAGGCTGGGACATGCTACAGGTGATGGCTGGAGTTGTATTGCAGGAGACTGTTGGAGGTCACTGTCATTACAGCACCTTCACGCATTAATGCTCCAACTATTGGATGCTGGGGCCTGGGGGCCACAGAAGAAGCACCGCAGGGCCACTGGTTGGGTTCGAGGACAATAGTCAGTGACAGTTTTCAGGGGTGATACGATATCATTCAGCGTAATAAACTTTATTTGCAATGAAATGTTGTAGCAAAATGTTTTTAGAAACTGCTTCAGGTGCAGTTGGGTGTTTCACCTTCACATCAGTGCTG